GCAAATAAGAAACAATAGAGGATGCGACAGATAGAGGAAGACATTGGAAACCTTAGCCCTGTCTCAAGCACCTCCTCACAAATAGCAATATCACTAGAGGAGTCATCACAAACAGACTCACTCATTTCAGCTCTGCAACACAACACCATTGGAAGAATGTTATAAGTGGAAACAATCTGAAGAATGTCAGCATCAGTATTGAGAGTACTAGAAATGGTATTTACTTTGGACCTGTCATCATCAAGAGCTACATTTCCTTGGTGTTTACTAGTGCGAGGTTGAAGAGAGATATTGCATGGGCCACTACTAGGAGAACCTTGAGGGACATGACTACATGGAGTTTCGCATGAACGAGCCATGCCATCCACCACTTGCCTGGAGTCGCTGTCGCCTAAAACACTAGCATTTCCCGGCGTACGCACCACCATAGCTTTGTGCCCAAGCTTCGTGCTCAGCCTCCATCGTGCACAATGTCGCTTGCTCATGCCTTGGCCCTAGTGACGATGCCTGTGCGCTCGCCTAGCCGCACCTAGCGCCCAGCGACGCTACTAGTGCGTTCGCCTGGACACATCCAACATTCAACGACGCCACCTACGGCCTCTACCGTTTTCACCCAGCAACCCTAGCGTGCCTCCTCCTCCGCGATCAGCGCCAGCCTATGGTGCCTCTCCTTCAATGCCCATTGCCTAGATTGCCTCGCCTTCGACGCCCACTTGGGTCACCTCGCCTTCGACACCATCTTGGGTCGCCTTGCCTCTGACGTCTGCTTGGGTCCTCTCCTCATCAACACCCATCTTGCCTATTGCCTCTCCAACGTTCACCTAAGCTCTTGCATCAACATCTCCAGCACTGCCTGACTCCCCACCGACATTGATGGCCTCTAGCATCTCCTCTCTTTCACTCGACATTGATCTCTAGGCACTCAACCCAGGAACAAAATCACTAGCCTTACTTATCTTGCCTTTGTTCTTGAGCATCTCACAAGAAACCCTCTCTCAAGTTGAATGGGATGGAAAGAAAGCAAAAATCCCAAGTGATAGATTAGGGAAAATTTTTCATAACAAAGGGTATCCTAGCAAGATGAACTACATGAAGAACAGAAAGAAGTCATCAGTCAAGCAGAGTCATCAGTCAAGAGGAGTCTTCATCAGTCAGAGTACAAGTTCAAATGCCCTTTTCTCCAAGTCTTATTGGACTCGGGGCATTTGGGGGGCAAATGATGGGCCCAACCTAAAGCCCAACACAGGCTATAAGGGCCCAACTTGAATAAAGGACCCACCTAGACAAAACCCAATGGACCTAGCCCAAAAAGAGATCCATGCCTAATCAAGTTCATCAAGGCTCTAAGAGCCACGTCATCAAGAATTAGGCAGTGTCATCCAAGAGCCTTATCCACGCCACCTTGGAGTAAGGACCACGCCATCCTAAGACCTGGCCTTGAGGAGAGTCCCACAACAGTCTCATCCGTTGAGAAAATCATGCCACCGCCACCAAATTAGTCTTTTGGTTACTGATAAGCCGCTTTAATCTGTTAGAATGTGATTATAAATGTAAGCCCCGCCTACACATGGGGAACATCAAACACATCTAGCATCACTTTCATATCTCTCATAGCTTGTACCTCACTTGAACTCTCATTGCTCTCATCTGATCTCTTTACACTCCTATAGCAATCAAACATTCAAGTCATCTTAACCCTTCATAGTGGAGTAAACCATCTTGACCAAACTACTTAAATTGTGTCTTGCTTGAGTTTCTTTCTTTATTTTATTATCTGCATTAATTACTTGACAGATGGTGTGCAAAATCAATTTGTGCATCATCAATATCTTAACCTTTTGTATTCCACGCATAAAAGTATGAAGAACAGAAGAAGAATGATCTAGCTCGCTACTGATTGCGATTGGAAGTTAACCTTGTGTCAACTAGTTCCCAATAAGATGAACTTAGCTGCTTGTTATGCTTGTGTATGAGCTTTGGCCAACTATTCTCGGTATGGAGAGAGCAAATGTTGACACAAATGCTGCCTCTCGTCCACACAGCTTAGAGACCAACTCTTTTCACTTGGTGCTGGTGTTGTTTGTTTATGCTATATGGAGGATTGTTGTCAAATGAACTCATCTAAAAGCTTTAGTTGGTAGAAGGGATGTGTAATAACGAAGGGTGATTTACCATGTTAATTCGTCAACTCGAGCTCATCTAAAAGCTGAAGTTATTAAAAGAGAATGAGTAATATTATTTGGACCCAAATATTTGATCTAATTTGCTGACATAATGATGTGATTTCATAAAAATTATTAGATCAACACCAAGTTCCAATATCTAATGGGGTCTACAGTGAATTATGTCAGTAAATTAAGTCTCAATAGCATTGCTCAAAGAGAATATAACATGAAAAGGTTCCCAGAACAGTGTTTTCTGGTCACAATTGATAGTGGAGAATAAGCCTCATTCCCTCACTTGGCTCCAACATAATTATTCAGCTTTTTAATCAATGGTCCTGTAACTGTTTGGCAAAAAGAATTACTTTGACACCCCAATTCGTGTAAATTTTTTCGACTTTCTATTTTTTAAAATGTGAGATGGGACTTGGTATAATATTGTCCAAACAATATGCTATGAGTTCGAGTGTTACTACATAGAAAGTCCTTATAGAAGTTTATACCTTTCGCACATTGTTATATTGGGTTGGATACGTCCTACAATGATTAACTACAAGTTGATAGTTGGGCTTAAATGAATTGTAGGAAGGTTGTCAATATCTTAGGTATTTTATGTATAGATATAAAATTGATAATTAATGGACTAAATTAAAATAATTGAAAATTCAAGGATCATTTTAAAATAATATACGAAATTAGGACTAAGTATGATATTTTACATTTATTTAAAGATTCGTTAGGGATGTTGATTAGGACAAACCCATGAAAGAAAAGGAACGCTGCTTTAAGGGGATGGGAAAGTGGCCTTTCAACATCCTTCTTCTTCTTCACTCGTTGATGAATCCAGATTCCATAACCCAAACCTTTTTAGCCCTATTCTCTCTCCTCCATTCCTTTTTATCTAAGCCCACCCAACAAAGCATTTCCTTCCTTCCCCATGGACCATTCGGCAAATGAAAGTGCACATTGCCATCACCAAAGGTCGGCACTATATAATCTTTAGTTTTTTTTTTTTATATATCATATAAAAAGGACGGATGACTAATAAGTAGCAATCTTTTTTGGGCGTGTTCGTGAGCATTTTCTTATGGTAGAATATTCGATTTGAATCATAACTACTAATTTAGAAGGATAGTTTGTCACCACAGCACCACCAAAATCAAGCAGTAAATCGTGTTATTCTCGTGAATTAAACTCTGTTTAATAACCTCATAAAAGTCAAAATTTATGACTTACCACTAAACCACCAACTCCAATGGTATATCATCGTCAGTTAAAATGACCAAAAATACTTGCCCAAAAAACGTAGTCTTTTTCTTTTTGGCTTGTGTCTGGCAATTGGCAATTATATTATCGATTGGTTTATGTGACTACAAAAACTACAAAGATTGATAGACCAACATCACTTATAGGATCAACACATACGAACATTGGGAGGTCTCGAAATTGCGATTATCGAATTCCAATTATGTTACACAAGAAATATTTACCAAAAAAACTCGGTTCAAAGGAGATTATACAAGTAGCTAATTATGATAGAAAAGAAGCATGAACAATGGGTTCGGCTCCCCTCCATTTTTCACAAGAATGGGGGGATCTTCAATTCTCTTTTAAATGGTCACAATTTATTTGCATCAGCAATTCACTACCATGTATTGGGTAGTTATGGGAAGACAATGAGAATTTTTTTTTGGAAAAATTCGAATGGATGGTTACAAATAAATATATGAAAGAATTAATTTTTTGGCCACATGGCAGGATTTGATTGGGATAAAACAATAAAATAATTCTAAAATCTCTTAATTGAACATAGTAATAGTAGGAGGATAGGCTTTTAAAACACTCGTCGTATGCGATGCATGAGACGAACTCCTAAGAATGAAAATTAAAATGATACAAAACACAAATTTTAAAGATTATTATAATATCTTACCATATATAAAATTGTTAAAACCATCAATGCAACATGGGATTACATAAAAGCAAACATTTTTAGGTGGGGTTTCTATTTGTGGGACCATCCACCTGCAATGTGATTTTCCTGGATCCAATCATTACTCTACATAGAAGAAACGCCTCTTACCACATTACTACTCTTTCCCACTGTTTTTGCCTTATGTATTAAGAAACGCCTCTTACCACATTACTACTCTTTCCCACTGTTTTTGCCTTATGTATTAAGAAAAGAAGGCTGGTAAAAAATAGGCTTGGGTCCATTTTATCTTTTTTATTTTCATGTTTGGATATATATTTTGAGCTCGGTATTATAAATTAGAAAAAATTCAAGTCCAAATAAATAGTGAATTTATAGCCACATACACTTTCTTAAATAAAATCACCTATTTTGTGGGTTTAAATAGTCCGGCTGGGTATGTTTTGACAAAAGACATTTTTACCCTCAAGATTTTCACAAAGATAATTATCTTAAGGGTACTTTAGTAATTAAATGTTTATAATATCATTCAATACCCTATTCAAGCAAAGTATTGGATAAGATAAATATGAGGTATATTATTTCTTAATACTCGAACCAAATATAGGATGAAGAGGCATTATCACTAATTCACTATAATTAGTCTAAGACCCAGATAAATAGGTATGAGATGGATGAGTTTGTCCAATCCGATCCTTCTTAATACATAAATTAAACACACCCTAAAGTGAAGAATACATAACCAAACTACCTTTGGTTTTTTTACACCTTTCATTTATTAATGATCAGACTCCCTCCTCCTTGACCTTCATCAACTTCTCTCCAAAGCCACTCCACCAAACACATCATATTCAGAAATCCAAACAACCCCCTATCAATCTCTTCTTAACAGTTAAGAGTTTCCAATGAAGGGCCTTAACATGTTGCGAGGACTAACAGTTTTTGTTGTAATTGTTGCCATTTCAGCCCCTACCAATGCACAAAATCGAAGGAAGCTCGACGAGAACACCTTGCCTGTACCACCTGGTTCAGTGAACAACTGTGGAAGCTGCTCATCTTGCACTAACGCATGCAACCAACTCCCTCCACCACCACCTCCTTCTCCTAAGAAGCATACAAGCAAACACTGCCCTCCACTACCACCACCACCACCACCGTCGTCGCTCATTTACATACCCGGTCCACCAGGGAACCTATATCCCGTTCAGCGATATTTTTCGGGCACTGGCCGCAGTTTTGCCGTTGGGTTGCCACTTTGGATTGGTATTGGATTGCTGGGACAGCTAGCTCTGTGGTGAATTTTCTCTTCGACCAAGGAAGAACTTAGAATATGATTATGGTGATCTTCCAATTCCAAAGACAAGAAATGCTTGTGGGACAATAATTGTAGTAATCCTTGGTTTAGTACTAGATAGCTTCATCTCAATCCTCAAGCATTCAATATTTTCAATAACTTCTTTTTATTCTGTGTGTGTGGATTTTGATTAGTATGTGCTTATCTGATCCTGATGAATGACTGTTCTCTTCTTCTCCAAAGGCCTTTTCCTACCTGTTGTCTCTTAGTATGATTAATAGATGGAAAATTGGGATTGAGATTTATTTCAATACATTTTTTTTTATAATTTATTAAAATCATTTATCGTCTATTAATAAATAACCCACTTGAGGATCTGCGGTTAATCTAATAGTCATCACGACTTGTCGTTAGACCGTTAGATCGTAGCTCCAAATTTTACCGTCCGCACTTCTATTAAAAAACCAAAGAAATTAACCTACTTATATGTAATTAGTCTAACTTAAATTTATAGGGTCATCTATCAAAAAATAAAATATATTTGACAGAATAATCAAACTTGGGTTCTGGGTGGGACCCATAAAAGTGAACATACTGCAATTCTGTGATTCTCAAATTCAGTGAGGGAAGTTGTCGGGGCCGGCTCAGACCAGGCGCAGTTCAAAATTACCGATCAAGTCCAATTCAGTGACCAGTTTAAAAATATAGGTCTGGTTTAAGTCGCATGTGCAATCAAGTCCAAATCAGAAATACACGTCAACAAGAGCTAAGCTCGTCGTCTTAAAAAATACAATTTACTAATGCCCACATTTTAAGAAAAAAAAATAGGGTACATATCGCAAATATTAACAATTTTGTTCGTTACGTTAATGTCACAGAGCCACCCACTCTCATCACAAGAGTGACCCCTTATTTAGGGCTGTTAATTAAAAAATTACTCGAGCTTGGCTTTAGTTCGATTCGGATTCGGCTCGTTCAGGCTCAGTTCGTCTTCTAAACGAACCCAAATTTAAACAAATTTTTAAGCTCATTTAGAAAACAAACTTTACAAGTTCGGCTCAAGGTCGATAAATTCGGCTCGTTTATGTGTAAATACTCGGGCTCGGCTCGAGCTTAACTCGGGTTCGACTCGTTCAGACTCGGTTCGTTTCCTAAACGAGCCGAACTTGAACAATTTTTAAAACTTGATTAAACAACAAACTTTTCAAGCTCGGCTCGAACTCGTTCGACTAATAGCCCTACCTTTAATCAAGGCTCCCCTAGATGGAGCCTCTGTCAAAAACTCACTCTGGGCTCTATGAAGATTATACTATCTTATAAATTATTAGTCATGGGCATGTGAATAAATTTTTTTATATAAAATATTAGTAAATTTTTTTTAGGTATATCTATATCTAAATTAAATATCATCTGAAATTTATAAAAATTATATTTTTATCGCCTGTATTATATTATTGAATTCATAATTTTTTTTCTCTTTCTAACAATTCGTTGTTCTAACTATAAGAAAAAAAATATAAAAATTATTCATTTTGAAATTTATTTGATTAAGTTTCAACTTAGAATTTATTGAATAAAATAATAATAATTAGTAATATTCTAATCAACACTTATTTTTAAAGGGTAATATAAACAATTAAAAAGTTTCATAAATATTAATATTTATACATAGAGAATAAAAAATTAAAAGAAATATTATGAAAAATTTAGAGATTTAATCACAGTATCCTTAATTGAATTTATATAAAGCCACTTTTATGGATCGTGACTCGAATAAAGCACTTTCAATTGCATCTCAATCCTTGATAGATTATTGGAACACATAATCGACCAGCTGGTTTTCCCACTTGCCGTCTCAAATTAAAAAGCTAGCCTTTTCCCTCTACGGGGTCCACCGTTAGCTGGGGTATCCTTAGAGATCTCTAGATGGGTAAACGTGGCTAGCTGAGGTTTCTTGCCATAATAATCCTTTTTTGTCTTTTGGTGTGACAGTGGGTGCGTCGAAAAGTCAGTTTGTAGTATACTCCATGTTGATTGAACATTAGTCCAAAAAAGATGTCGATCAAAAGATTTTTTTTTTTTTTTCATTTGGTAAACTGGTCGAAATTAATATAATGTAAGCATGAAGCATGTTCAATGCTAACCAAAAGCATTTAGATGAAGTAATTTTTTATGTCGAATGTTAATGTTTGTCTTGGAAATTTTCACTACTAAGATACGGAGTTGATAGTTAAACGAATTCAAGTCAAATCTAAAAAATTTGTTTTTTTAATCGAGTTTAAAAACTTATTCAAGTCCGACTCGTTTTTTAGTTGAGTTTGAACGAGTTTAAAACGAGTTGAATTCAAATCGAGTCGGAATATTTACACATAAATGAGTCGATCTTGTCGAATTTATTTTTCAAAAAAATCTAAAAATTTGTTTAAATTTAACCTAAATAAGTCAAAAATAAATAGAACTCAAGCCGAACTTGAATAACTTGGTTCGATTATTATCACTACTTAGATTCGGTCATTTCAAAATGGAGCAAAGTTAAGTGATCAGGAAACCAACTCAAATGGAGTATTTTCTTTCGACGCCAAGCGAGGAAAGCACCACTTACTCTCCTATTTTTTATCCACCTAATTTTCGTCATCCCAAACATATTGTGAAATTACCAACTGAAAAATACCATGAAACCGGTGAGGAAACCAACAGTAGAACCACCAGTTTTGGGGTCAATTGTGTTGGAGATACTATATATTGGAGGGGATAATAATCTTTTTTTTTTTGGGTTCAAACGTCAAGAATGTCTAAATCAATTTATGTATATCTCGACTAATCATCTCCCGATTCGGTGGAAGATTTCAAATTCAAGTTCCATCTGTTTAAGATAGGAAGTTGACCCATTCTGTGTTTAGGTGGCCATGACTTAGTGAGGGAGGTTTGGTATCCATCCAGTTCAGACATGGGTTATAGGTGCTGTTTACTCTCCTTTTCAACAACTGTTCTCAAATTGAAAGGTTGGGTACATAGGTAGAAGGAGAGAGCATCAGCTTGTACTAAGATAGAGACCAGAGGTGACCAAAAGCATGCACATAATAGAGAGAGTTTTAAGTCTTCACGGCATGCTTAAGTTTCTATTATCTTCAAAAAAAAAAAAAAAATCTATTATCTTTCAACAGTAATGCTAGACTGATCAAATTTTGAAATCAAATTTAGAGCTCAAATGACATGACAGTTGACATGGACTTCTTTGATTGGTGTGATGGCATTTGAACCTCAATAAAAACTTCAAATAATCAATTGTCATGTCATTTAACTCTAAATTTAGTACCAAAATTTAATCAGTCTAGCATTACTTATCTTTCAAAGCACAAAAACTTTAATATTTTAGGAGCAATTTTAGTGGGACTTAATTGGAAAATCTAATAAAGAGATATTAATTGTTTGTTGCGCACCTTTTCCAAGAACACTCTCTCTCTCTCTCTCTCTCTCTCTCTCTCTATATATATATATATATATATATATATAGAAAGGACCCAAAAAAAAAACAAAGAAATTAGGGTAGCTATATATCATTACTCTTTTGTGGGGGATCCAATTTACTTGTGTAAGTGTTGAGCATAGCAAAAGGTTCAAGCTTTATGAATATATACCGATTGATCACTATTATTATAAATTATTAATTATTATAATTTTTTGAAAAATATATTTATAGCAAATAAGAAAGTATTCAGAGGTGAAGAAAAGCCCAAAAAAGAGGAAAATTTTGGTGTAACTGGGGTGTTAATTGGAAAGAAAGCTATTATCAGCAAATTCAGATTATGTGTCTTGGTACTATGCAATGAGTATGGTAAAAGGCAAATTTTAATTTTAATTTTTTTGGTGGCAGAAAGGTGCAAAAATGGTTATGAAGACAGAGGCAAAGCATTGATGGAGGTGGAGATGATGATGATGGCTCTGAGTCTTGAAGTTTAAGTTTGTTAATGTTAGGTATATTTTGGGCCTTAATGGCTTACTTTAGAATTATTCGGAACATTTGATTGCATCATCCGTTTGGATCGTTTTTTTATATACATGAATATAACCATTAATTTTTATTTCTAAGCTACTCAATTCAATTTAATTGAACAAAGTTTAATGGAGCAATCAGTAAACAAGGTCGAAAATATGGGTTGTAAGTTTAGATATTCATCCTCAAGTAACGGTGGCGAAATAACTCCGGTCTTGTCAAAAGAAATTAAAAGTAAGGGATTGGTGTGGTCCCAGTTGAATCATCTTCGACGCCAAAATCAGTTTAACAAAATAAAATATTTATCAAGTCCGAAAATAAAAAGAAAAAGAGAGAAAGTATTCTCTTAAGCAATTTTTTCATGGTCTCACACTTTATTTATGATGGTTTTTATAGTGTGTGCTGAGTGTGTTTTAACTTTAAGGGATAATCATTCACGGTTTGTGTATGTATAAAATTATTGCCATGCAAGAGCCAATAGTTTGCCCCAACATGGTGGCGGCCCAGGTGTGCTGGCAGACATGCCATGCCAAGTGTCATATTCTTCTTGATTGGCCTCATGGAGATAGCAGCTGAGATAATCCGAGGTCTGGACTGCGGCAGAGATGATAGTTTAAGACTGCATTTGATAACATTTTCGTATTTATGTTTTTAAAAAGATAAAAAATAAAATTAATATTTTTTTTAATTAAAAGTTAAAATAAAAAACATGTTTGGATGTAGTTGTTGTTTTACAAAATCTAAAAACTAAAACATAAAATATATTTGGTAATTATTTTATTTTATGTCATATATTTTACATTTATTTTAATTCTTGATAAACCATATCTACATGATTATATATATATTTTTACAAAAAAGAAAAGTTTTATTTCAAATAATCAAAAAAAATTACAATAAATAAATATTACAAACAGTCTGACATCAAACCCTACTGATTTTAATCCTTCAAAATGTCAAATTACCAATAGCATAACACTAATAGCCTTCCAAAATCAACAGTCTAACATCAAACCCTATATACATGCAGCAAACTGAAATCCAATGTCTTCAAATGGTGCAAAATTTGTCCCAATAAACCCCAAATTCTCCCATGAAACTCAATGTCTTTTTCTCACATCAGTCTTACCTGACCATAGAACGATTATATGCTAATACATATATTAACTCATAAACTAGTGCATAATACATCAACTCAAAATAAAAGTTGTTAAACATCCAATGTATCACTACATAAATATATTATTAATATTCTACCAATTACACAAATACACCATAATTACTTCACTAAAATACTAATAAGTAATACAAATATCAAGAACATTAATGCACAATACACGATGAAATTGCATCCACAACAAGTAAGCATAAAAAGTGTGACCCATTTCTTCTCTCTCCTTCCTAAATTGGCATGTGGGATCACAAGTTCTGATTCATCTCTGCGTGTATCGTACTCATCAACCCAAATGAAACAATTAGCATGATCACCCCATCTTGGACAACGATAAAAAAGGCGATCGTTGTTTCTTTTTGTTCGCGCAATGAAAACATTCATATTACCATATCCACATGAACATGGAGGTCCAATTGGTGTCATTATATAATTCATGTTTCAACAACATTAATTATGACAAATGAGACATAACAATTTGTTCAATATAATATTGTAAGTTAAGAAAAAAGTATAATACCATTCTAAGTAAGACATTTTAATGATGAGTTGATGCCCACAATTGATTTGCAATGCCATCTCTAACATGGGTCATTTCATACAACTGGCTCGGTGTTATATCTATTTCAATTGGTGCTTGTGAACTAGATCATGTACCACCTCTACCATCATTAACATCCTTCCATTGTTCATAGTCAATAAACAACTGATCTTGTGAAGAGTGACTTCTAATGAGGTTATAGATTGTACAACAGGGTGTGGGCAGATATTTTTGTGTGGTTATGGAATAAGGTGACATTAATTTGAGAATGGGAAAACGAGCCTTCAAAACTCTAAAGCAATGTTCAATTACATTTTGAAGTGATGAGTGACAGTAATTGAACAATTCTTCTTTGTCAGGTGGTTGTCGACTCCTATCTCTATAATCACGTAAGTGATATCTCTCACCGCGGTAAAGAGACAAAAAACCTGGCATGTTTGTATAACTCGAATTTACAACATAGTATTTATCTGAAAATATATATCATAGTAAGACAAAGTATTAGATTTGTACAAATTACTTATCTGAAATACGTGGATAAATTTACCTCCTGGAAGCATTGGAAACTTGTTTGCTGAATTAGTGACACACTCTATAAAAATTCGTAAGTCATGTGTTGTACCTTCCCACCCACTCAAGACAAACGTAAAACACATGTCAAATGAACATGCACACAACGTTCTGAGTTGGTACAATTTGCTTTCCACAGTATGGTACTTGTTGGTCTACTGGAACACGTGCATCTACATGGGTACCATCAATTGCACCAACACAATTCTAGCATGACAAACATATATCTCAAATGCTATCAATTAAACCAAAACATATATTTTGTAATTCATATGAAGATACAATAATATTTTCAATTACCTTAAAAAATGGATAATAAGGAGGATTGAATATATATTGTTAGGATCCAGAGATAAATATTGTTAGTTCCATTGTGTCCATGTCCACAACACAGACAGAGGATTGCACTGCCCTTAAGGTCCATATAGAGGACCTCATCCAAAGGGGTCATCTTATCAAATTTATCGAGAAAATACGCCATGAGAGGGCAGATGATTAGTAGAACAGAGAGGAAGTGGAATGCCAGCAGACCATACAGGAGGTCAAAATGATCTCTAGGGGATTTTCCTCTTTAGCCTTCAATGGAGAGCAATTTCTTCTCCTCTTCAGCCTTCTTTTTCTCCTCCTCAACCTCTCTCTTCTTCGGCTCGTCCTTTTTTGCCTTCTTCAAAAAATCTTGAGCAGTGGCTTCGAAAACGGAGAGCTTGCAGCTCGTCCTTGGAGGCTATTAGCTCGATTATGGAGCTCTCAATTTCCTCATGCTGCTCATTCAACTGCTTAAGCTTTTCCTTAAAGGACTTAAGCTTGGACTCTACCTTTTTAATCTTAGCACGAAATTCCTAAAACTTTTTCTCACATACCCGCGTCAAGCTGAAACAAGAGAAAAGGGGTTAAATGAGAAAATAATGATAAGGAAAGAAGAATGAGGCAGCGGTTTGTAGACCTTACCCTCCCAATGGTCTGGGCAAGGACCTTGCTAGTCTAAATTGTCCCTTGCTAGAAGGGGGGCTGCACCTCCTCACTGTAGTCGCTCCATCAAATCCACGCTTGATTAATCGTTTTTACGTGTTGGGAATAAATAGGTTTTCCCACAAGTGTAAATCGATGGAAGTAATATAAATAAAATAACAGAAAATAAATTAGCACACAAGATTTACATGGTTCCCTCAAATTGAGGTATGTCCACGACGACCGGTAGATCAGTTTCTTCCACTATCACCAAAAGAGTTTACAAAGTGGTCAAAGAGCATAAGTCTTCCAAACACACCAAGGTGTAAATCACAAGAGGAAAATACCTCACAAAATAAGTAAACCAAATCTCCAAGAGCAAACTGCAATAATTACCCCAAATATCAAGTGAAGAAATGTTTTCCACTTGAAGAACAAATTGCCGATTTTTGTAGCACCAAAACTGGAGAAGAAGACAACTGAATTTTGTTGAACCAAAATTTGCCTAAAAAATATGTCTTCTTGCCGAGCCGACAGAGAACAGAGGAACCAAAGAAAAATGACAAAAAACTTGTAGTTCTAATTCTTCTTTTGTGTGGCTGCCGAATTCCTTTTTAACTTGAAGACTCCAAATCAAGCCTTGGATATGCCAAGAGTCATGCACGGGTTAACCACCAAAATTAAAAGCCATGTGCTGACCAAAGTGCATGCCAAAATTAACAATTAATAGAAAAACTATATATAGGAAATTGATGGATCTCACAAAGGAGGGAAACCCAACAATTCTCCCCCTCCCAACTTATGTGGAGGATTCAACCATTCCCGCCAAAAGTTGACACTTCTCATGCTTGTCCTTAGTCAATGCCTTAGTCAACATATCCGAAGTATTATCATCAGTGTGAACTTTTTCAAGTTGCAACAACTTATCATTCAAGACATCACGAATCCAATGATATCTAACATCAATGTGTTTTGATCTCGAATGAAATGAAGAATTCTTACTCAAGTGGATTGCACTCTGACTATCACAATGAAGAACATATCTTTCTTGTTTCAAACCCAACTCTTGTAAGAATTTCTTCAACCACAATAATTCTTTGCAAGCTTCTGTGATGGCGATGAACTCAGCTTCTGTGGTGGAAAGAGCAACACATTTCTGTAATCTTGATTGTCATGCCACTGCTCCCCCTGCAAAAGTAATCAAATAACCAGAAGTAGATTTTCGACTATCAACATCACTAGCCATATCAGAATCTGTGAACCCATCAAGGATAGGCTCGTCTTTACCACAACACAAACTCATCTTGAAGTGCCTTGAAGATACCTCAGAATCCATTTCACTGCTGCCCAGTGTTCTTTCCTTGGATTAGACAGAAATCGACTAACAACCCCAACTGCGTGAGCAATATCCGGTCGAGTACAAACCATGGCATACATCAAAGAACCAACTGCTAAAGCATAGGGAATTTTCTGCATCTCATTTTTCTCTTCATCACTTGTAGGACACTGACTTGAGCTAAGTTTGAAGTGGTCTGCAAGTGGACAATTAACAAGCTTTGCTTTGTCCATATTGAACCTCTCAAGAACCTTTTTAATATAATTCTCTTGAGATAACCAAATCAGCCCATGTGATCTGTCACGAACAATTCTTAGCCCAAGAATTTGCTTTGCTGGACCCAAATCCTTCATGGCAAAGGACTTGCTCAACTCTAACTTCAACTTTCTAAGCTTGCTTGTGTCTTGGCCCACAATAAGCATATCATCAACGTAAAGCAAGAGAATAATAAAATTACTATCTGGATATTTCTTCACAAACACACAATGGTCTGAAGTGGTTCTTGAATATCATTCTCAGTCATGAAAGAATCGAATTTTCTATACCACTGCCTTGGTGCTTGCTTCAATCCATACAAGTTCTTCTTCAATTTGCAAACTAACTGATCATTACCCTTATCTATGAAGCCCTCAAGTTGCTCCATATAAATTTCCTCTTCTAAGTCACCATGCAAAAAGGCGATTTTCACATCAAGCTACTCAACTTCTAAATTCATACTCGCAGTTATACCAAACACAGTTCGAATGGAGGACATCTTCACAACTGGTGAGAAGATCTCATCAAAATCAACTCCCTTCCTCTGACCAAAACCTTTCACAACAAGTCATGCCTTGAATCTCGGTGGAGAACTGTTCCCATCATTCTTTCGTCTGAAGACCCATTTATTTTTTAAAATTTTCTTCCCTTTAGGCGGCTTCACCAAATCATAGGTGTGATTCTCATGCATTGACTTCATTTCCTCTTTCATTGCCTTAAGTCATTCAGTTTTGTTCTCATGCTTCAAGACTTCTTGATAAGTCTCTGGTTCCCCCTAATCTAATATCATCACATACTCATTTGAATAATATTTTCTGGATGACTGTTTTTCTCTGGTAGATCTCCTTAATGGTGTCTGTGGTAGTGGCTCTTGGGGTGGCTGCTCCCCCTCAATCTCTGGCTCAACATCATCTTCCGCTGCATTATCATGAGGTGTCTGCACTTCCTCATCAATGTCATGAACAACAGGTGGATCAAGAGGATCTAAATCAACAAGATTATCAGTACTAGACTTAGCTGACTCAAGCTTGTCAATGTCTTCAATAGTCTGATCTTCCAAGAAAACAACATCTCGACTTCTGACAACTTTCTTATCAACTGGATCATACAACCTGTAGCCAAATTCTTCATGCCCATAGCCAAGAAATATGCACTGCTTTGCTTTTGGATCAAGCTTGGACCTATTATCTTTTGTAATATGAACAAAAGCTTTGCAGCCGAATACCCTCAAGTGATCATAGGAGACTTCCTTCCCTGTCCAAACTTTCTCTGGTACATCACCATTCAACGGAACTAAAGGAGACAAATTGATAAGATCAACTGCTGTCCTCATTGCCTCACCCCAAAAGGATCTTGGCAATTTAGAATGTGAGAGCAAACATCTGACTCTCTCAAGAATGGTGCGATTCATTCTCTTTGCAACCCCGTTCTGTTGAGGTGTCTTTTTGACTGTCTTTTCATGCCTGATGCCATGATTGGTGCAATACTGATCAAATAGTCCAATATATTCACCGCCATTATCAGAGCGAACACATTTCAACTGTCTACCAGTTTCTCTTTCAACCTTGGCCTGAACTGCTTAAACACATCTAGAACTTGATCTTTAGTTTTCAGTGTATAAGCCCAAACTTTTCTAGAGTGATCATCAATAAAAGTGACAAAGTATAGAGCACCACCAAGTGTCCTAACTTTCAAAGGACCACATACATCAGAAATGTACCAATCTAGAACATGCGATTTCTAGATGCAATGTTTCTACGGAATGATATTCTGTTTTGTTTACCATGGAAACAATGAACACATGTTTTCAAAAGCGTACCTTTTATCCCTGCTAGAAGCTCTTTCTTGGACAAAACTTGCAATCCTTTTTCACTCATATGTCCAAGCCTTCTATGCTATAAATCGGTGGATGAGTCATTCTTTAAGGTATTCACAACACCCTTGCAGATTTTTGCTTGCATAGTGTAAAGAGAACAAGTCTTCTTTTCTTTTGCTACCACTAGAGAACCTTTGGAGAGCTTTCAATTTCCATCACTAAAATTGTTGTTGTAGCTCTCATCATCTAACTTTCCAGTAGAGATTAAATTGAGCCAAATATCCGGTACATGCCTCACATCTCTAAGCAACAATTTGCATCCAATATTTGTTTCCAGCAAATGTCACCCACGCCGACAATTTTTGACACATCTTCATTTCCCATACGGACATTCCCAAAATCACCTTGCGAGTAAGAAGTAAGAAATCAGCCAGTGAAGTAACATGAAATGAAGCTCCAGAATCAATTACCCAATCTGTCTCTTGGCCAATCAAATTAACGATAGCATCATCACAGATAATCATGAGTTCACCATCAGTAACTACAGCTGTATCATTTTGCTTTTTCTCTGAATTTTCTCTTTGTTCTGCTCCTTGAACTTGAATTTTCTGCACTCCCGCTTCATGTGCCCATTCTTGTGACAATAATAGCACTCAACATCTTTCTTTAAAATCGAGCTTGAATGACCTCTAGATTTATCACGGTTGTGCAGAGCCCTACTCTTACTTCTGCCTCTCCCCCGGTTTTCCATCACAAGTGCCTCAGAGTGAGAAGAACCTGATGATTTTCTTCTTGTCTCTTCATTCAACAGGCTGCTAGTAACTTGACTCATTGTTACCACTCCATCAGGTGCAGAGTTACTAACTGTGACCACCAAAGTTTCCCAACTTTCAGGAAGTGAACTAAGAAGTAACAAAGCTTGCAACTCATCATCAAAAGTAATTTTCATGGCGGCCAACTGATTCACAATGCTCTTAATCTCATTCAAATGCTCTGCAATAGGAGTACCCTCCTTATATTTAGAATTCACAAGCTTTCAAAATAAAAAAGATTTAATCACGGCCGTCTTTCTATCATAAAGACTCTCCAATTTGGTCCAAAGACCAGGTGCTGAATTTTCTGTAGAGACGTGATGAAAGACACTATCATCAATCCATTGCCGAATAAAATCGACAGCTTTTCGATCTAGCTTTTTCCACTCGTCATCTCTAATTCCTTCCAGTTTGCCACTATCACCCTCTATGGGTCCATTCAAATCTTTACAAAATAAAAGGTCTTCCATTTTAGTTTTTCAAGTCACCCAATTTGTGCCATTAAAACTAACCATACGCCCAACGTTGTCGTCCAAAATTCACACACACAAATATAACGAATTGGAACCAAATTAACCAATTGCTCTGATACCAAATGTTGGGAATAAATAGGCTTTCCCACAAGTGTAAATCAATGGAAGCAA